CATTCTGTAGAAGATGTGAGAAGTCCCTGGTTCTTGTGAACTGAAGCCACAAAACAGCAGCTGTTGCATAATTTTCATTCTTGCATGCCTCGTCTCCCCCCTATAGCTCTATCATATACTCATTTTCTTTTGCAAGGCAAAGATTTCAGCTTTGATACCAGAACAAGAAGGTATCCTCAAAGAGCATAGACTGCTATGACATTTTTAAACAAATGTAGGACCTGATTTACTGTGTCAGGCAAAATCCTGGGTTCTGTCACTCAAACACCTTACATTCTAACTGTATGAAAAAAAGTATATAGCTGTTCTGATCCTTTAGAAATATATCAATGTAAAAATGGCATCTTTAAGATGAACAAAAATTTAACAAAGCTTGCTCAATACTTTGGAGCATTAGGTGTCCCTGATAAGTTTATGTTGTAGTTAACTGTGTGTGGAGAAGTTCAGCATCAAGGGGCCTTAGAAGCCCTTAAGAGACGGCTTAAACTCTTAAGCGCAGGATAAAAGCGAGGCCTTTGGCTGGTTTGCATTCAGCCTTGCTGCTCATGTGCCCTCTGTCTTACTCAGTTTGTTGGTATAGTGATCCTTTGTGGCATTCCCCCATTGAAACCATTCACCAAATAAGGAAAAGTTAAAGGGGGACTGTGCCCAGTTCCTGTTAAAGCCTGCACTACAGCAGGTACCTAAGCCTACTGAGGAAGAGGACTTGGCTTGAGAGAAGGCAGAGCCACAGGTTGAGCACACTGAAGGAGACAGGCCCAAGCAGGGACCCAGTTGATGTGCGAGGAGTTCCTCGTGAGTAGGCCTCTGACCAGAGAGCTCTGACATTCTGCAATTGAACTCTGGGGTAGTTCTCAGCAGTCTCTGGTGTTAAAAGCCTTCAGTGCCTGTCTCACTAGTGTTGGTAGCAGTGCTGTTCTCCCTATCTTGCATTGAGATTGATGCTCTTTATTATGAACTCTTGGACTCCTTAACTCTGCTCTTACACCATGTCACATAATCTGATTACCTAAGTCTATTAGGTACGTCTGCATCATTACCTTCCATCTTTAGGTTAGCCCTTTGGTCTTGGTCTGCTTCAGCCAACACAGGACAGATACAAGCAAGTCAAATATAGCAAAGCAAATATCTTAAGCAGCACTATAATCTCATGGCCTTAATTGAGGCTATTTTAGGGGCAGAGCATTTTCTGTGATCTTTGGATGACCGTTTCTGACATAAGCCTCATAAAAACCTTCCCCCCATGAACTTGCTTTCAGATTACTTAAGTGTCTGGGAATGGCTCTGTACAGAAGTAAACCTGAACAGTTGAGACCATGCCACTCCATCTATTCACAGCATCTAATGTTCAACCCAGGCTGGAACAGCCACAGAGCTGTAGGAAAGAACCATGGTGCTATAGAACTGAACTGGAAAGGCATAAAGGCTTTCTGTTTCACTTGTCTTCTATAGTTGCTTCAGGTATGTTGATCGCTCTGTTAAAACCAGTGGTACATAATTTACTATTAGTTGGGGAATGCTCCTGATTCTTATAGCCACATATTTTGCACTCAGAAACACTTTGATCTACTGAAATTATTACCTTATGCCCACCCTTCCTTTGGCCTACTTCCAGCTTAGGTTTAATTTTGACTAGACAACTGCTATCAGATTTGAAATGGGTCAGGGTTAAATTTTTTACTAAAATGCATTTACCACTGGGCTAATAGTTCATGTTGCAAATTACGTATTTCATCACAAATGAGACAAGATAAAGGTAAACAAGAATATGGCAAGGGATTAGCTGTTCAGAAGGTGAGAATTGAATTAATTGAATTGAGGACTGTCAGAGGGGCTCTAGCAAAGAAGTTCTTTTGAGAAGGATAACATTCTGTTGGTGCTGTCTGCTTTGTCTGGAAAGTAGGGAACAAACCGTGCTTGCCTTTGATCTGTAACAGCCGTTTTGTTTATACAAGGCAGTGTCCTAGGCCAGTTTAGGACATCATGTATAATCTCTCATCTACAGCACTGTTTTGAAGGCTAGGATAAGAACAGTTATTGGAACAGAAGTGCTAATCTGGAGGAGCTGCTGAACAAAAGCAAGCCTGATCACAAGCTGAATTTGTTCAAACCAATTATTTGCAAGATACAAATTGTTTGACAATAATTGGACAACTGCAAAATGTTTTATATACTTGCCAATCAAATGTGAGGTACACTTTTGGCTTAACTGTGAATTTAAGGTGTAATCCGAACCAGGACATACTAAATCCAAGTCATGGTAATGGGGTTTAGATGATATGCTAAGTCTGGTAGGTTGGTAGCATATTCTACCAGCCTAGTTACTGCAAGCATACCAGTGCAGAAGAATTACTCCCAACACTTGGATGCACATCCTAATGCAAGGCAGCGGGTGGCCTTGTTCCCACTTCCCTGCCCTTCCGGTGTGGTGACCCAGTTCATCAGGATTCCCCTGGCATGCTGCCCAGTAGTTCCTGCTACATGTGGGAGGCTGCTGAAGAAACCGTGTACCTTTTGTTAGTGGTTTGTTTATTTAGTACAATGTATGAGGTAGGACCTCTAGCTTGTTCTAATCCCCAATGAACTTCTGTTCTTGGATTCTTTCTCTGGTTTGTCAGGGGAAAGACACATCATGGTTTGTCTATTATGCTTATGGGCTGAAGGCTTGTTAAGTCACTCCTGCTTGCAGTGAGAGAGGTCAGACAGTCTAATACTGTAGAATATCTCAAGGGTACAGTTTGTTGGGCTCTCTGACTTCAGATTATAGGTGCTGTGCTGCATTGATTAAATAGAACTGATGTCACATATCTGGATCTTGATTCCAGCAGACCTTTCTGTGGACAAAGCTTCCCTTCTTTATTCCACCGAACAAGAGCAATTGCTTGGAAACATAATTTGGTCTTTGTCTGGTACAGTTCTTGGCAATCAGTTCTATGAGTCATCCAACTTTGTAATACATTATAGCTTAATGAGATGTAGCCAGCAGTGCCTTACAAGGCTGAGCCCCATATGGAATCGCCAAACTGTTTCTTAATCAAGGAGGCTCACCATGCTGTCCTTCTGTGGCTCTTGTTTTTGAGAAACTTGGCCTGGTTTTACACAGTTTGCTTAGCATTAAAATATATTATAATAGTAAGGGCCCACAATGCATGCCCATGCTCAGTAGCCAAAAAATAGTTCTGCCCAATGAGAATATTATAAAAGTACCTTATGCGTGTGGAGTGCTGCCCCTTCTGCACCCAGCAAATGACAACTTGTCTCTCCAAAGGAGAATGACTGCTAGCTCAGATGGCATTTCACCACAAGCCTGATTTTTCTACAGTTGTTTCAATGAGGCATTGTTCAAACTTGTCTGACAAGCCCCAAGCTTCTGTTCAAACCTAGGGTTTAAAAGGCTAGAGTACAGTATTTCCCTTCTCCTCAAAGTAAACTTCATGTTTTTTTTCTTTCCCTAAAGAAGCTCCCTTTTGCTTTCTTCCATCCCATCAGTGTCAATTTATGAAACAAATCTTTCTCTATTCTTAAAAATTCTACCTGCAGTTGGAATGAAGTGGCAAGAATGTGTTAAGTGAGAGGCATTTAGAAGGGGGATATTCGTTCAGTGGAAGGTGGACGCTGGGGGTGTAAAGGTTCTTGACCAACTGCTGAGTTCCAAGAGGAGATGTTGGTAGCGGGGGAAGCAAACGAGCCTGTTGTGGGAGAAGGAGGCTGGGGGTGGGGAGTGGCTTGCTCTTGGAGAGGAAGAGGAGTTGAAGCACAGTACTGAGCAGCATAAGTCAGATGGTAAATACTACAGCCAGCATCCCCTTCAGACCACCATTCAGATCTGTAGTATTACTAGGAAAAAAGGGGTGGGAATGGAACCCTTGCCGAGGCTCTTCAGAATGATTCAACAAACTCTTTCCAAAAAGCTGCTCTGATTTGGCTGATACAATGCAACTTCCCTCTCTGAGCATGTCTCTCTCATCATTTTACTAATTCTGGACCTGTAACTAAATGGATTGAAGAATGATACTGCTTCTTTCAAGGGTATGTTTTGGCAGTGCCCAGTACTCGCCACTGTTGGGGAAGAGGTTATTATGTATAAACATTGTATAGTGTTAGAATACGCTTTAATATTTACTGATGCATATATCTTAAATTATCTGCTTGCCTCTTGGAAGTTAATACAGAGCCACTATAAAGGGATCCTCTGACAGCTACAAGATATTACAGTATTGGGAAGCTATTAAATCTTTCTAAATCATTCATTTACATTTGTGCAAATAAGGTAGCTTTTTTTGTAGAGAACACAGACGTCCTTGGTCAATAGGATTTTTGTTGGTCATAGGGTCCAGTAAGATCTGTTATCACCTATTATGTATCTATTTATCTAAAGTGATTTCCAGGTCACCTTTGAGGGTGGAACCTTCTTAAGGTGGTGTACAAGATAAAACTACACAAAGAGGGTACATTGAAATAGAAAGTCATGGAAATTGAGATTTCCAGTTAAAACAATACTGTGGTGCTGTGTGGCTCAGTAGTGGAAAAAACCAGCAGCTCCCAAGTGAATATATCTATATGGGTATGGAGGAATGCAGTATTAGAACTTAAGGGTCTGTGACATTCAGTATCTTTGAGTTAGCCCTGACTCTGTCTCACGTTCATCACTACGCTGAACTTTATGCAGTGCTTTGGAGGTGCCTGCCTATTTCAGAAATTGGGAGCAGTCGGTTAGTCTCCAGATAGAAGCTTGAAGTAAGGCAGAGGAGTTTCATTCTTCCAGAGATGCTCTCAAAAGTAGTTTATGCACAGCAGAGGCTAGTGCACTGATTGGCAAACCACAATGTAGTACTCTTTGATAAACAGAAGATTGTGGTTGCCAGATTCAACTTTATTTTTTCATGGAGATGTTTTGATATGTTATGAAGGATAGGAAATCATATTAGAAGTGTGAGGACTTCTCTCAGATTGGCTGCAATTGAAGTTAACTAAATGATTTACCTCTGCTGTGTTTGTAGATCTGATCTAAGCACCATGGGAAAGGAAGACTAAGATTTCAACATGATTGGAGGCCTATTCATTTATAATCATAAGGGGGAGGTTTTAATCTCTCGTGTCTACAGAGATGACATTGGGTAAGTACTTGACAGCACCTTCATCCTGCTTTCATTCTGCACCCCACTCCAATTCCTTGTAATTTCTGCGCTGCTGCTGTGCTTATTTAAGTGCGTGCATGTAGAGATTGTATGTGTCGCATTGAGGCTATGTCCATCTGGCTAGGCCTGTGGGTAAATGTTGTCTTGGATCATCCTCAGGCAGTGACCATGGGGGCAGCACTGGTAGAATAGCTCTGCTTATATGCTGTCTTAATTTCAGCGTGCTATGAGAGAAAAGCACCTCGAGGCTGTGAAACAGCTCTACAGCTTATCATTTGAGCCTTGTGTCCAAATGGTAGCCATTGGGCATCTGAGCTTAAAAGGTTGTTTCTTGCCTGTGCTTCTTGATTGAGCTCATCCATCTGAGAATGCTTTTCCACTTTTGTGAATAGCTTTAATATTAGCAACAGGACATTCACGTCCTAACTGGAGAGACAGTGTATGCGGGTCAAAAAGGTAGTGTTACCAAGAATAGTCTTGCTTCTACGTTTGTTTGTTTGTTTATGCACATATTTATATGCTGCCTAGAACTGCCAAAAGGCCTTTCTAGGTGGCTTATAACCATATATTTAAAAAACCATATTAAACACACATATATAAATAGCATTTTAAAACTATTAAAAGATTAAAACACCAATATGACAATAATATAAAAAGGCTACCAGCATTCACAAGGCTAAGTATTAATTTTTTTTTAATGTTATGTCTTCGCCTGGTGCTGCAAAGAAAATAAAGATGGTGCCAGCTGAATTTCTCTAGGGAGGGAGTTTCAGAGATGGGGAGCAGCAGTAGAAAAGGCCCTTTGCCTATTTGCCACCCTTCTCACCTCCCTGAGGGGTGGCTCTCGCAGAAGGGCCTCCTGCGCTGACCTTAGGTAGTGAGTAGCTTTATACGGATGTAGACAGTCCTTCCCCCTTTGCAGTGCTACTATCCTAGTTGCTGTGTCAGTCTGGATCAGCAGTAGCGATAGAGCTGTAAAAAAGCCCTGTATTGTAACTGTAGGTCAAATAAGCCCGCAGAGTCGCAATATATGAACTGTTATGTGCTATTCCATAGAAACAAAGTGAGGCAGAAGAGGCCTTCTGGGCCATCTAGTCTGACCCCTGGCTCCAGCAGGCTCCACTCATGTAATCCTCAACATGTGGTTGTCCAGTCTTTCCTTTAACCCTCAAGCACACTAGTAGTTTACATGGTGGCTCTCCTGTCGCTCTCTTTTATTGACACAGCATACAACCCTGTGAGGTAGGTTAGGCTGGGAATCAGTGACTGAAATTCACCCAGTGGACTTGATGGCAGAGAGAGGCGTAGACCTCTGGATCTCCAGTGGCCCAGTCCGATACTCTAATCACTGCATCGTGCTGTAGTTGCATGACTGTGCAGCAGTCTCATGGGGTGTTTTGGAAGCGATACTGAGGAAGTGCTAAACCGCAAGGCTGACCTTCTGTCAAAGAATGTGAGCGGCACACTGGTACCCCATTACCTAGTCTTCTGCCAAAACCAGACTACAGCTGCTTGAACTTGTCAGTTGCGTAGGAATGTAATCTTTTCTCTTTCTGTGTTCAGGCTAGAACTATGCCATTTCTGGAAATGTTGAGGCTCTGGGAAAAGAAGCCTTCACCCTGTGTTTTTGGGTGGAAAAGAGACATTTTGGGAAAAACTGAAATAATCAATGCCTTGTCTTTGTAGCACCATTTAGTTATTACTTTCATACTATCTATTAGCCAAAGAACTCAGTATGGTTTACAGTTATCACTTTAAAATACCACATGGTAATATACAATATAAAAGATTATAACTACAGTATAAAATAAAAGTAATTAAATAAAACCTGAAGGAGCGCTTACGTCCATATATGTCCGCCCGCCCCTTGAGATCTGCGGGAGAGGCCCTTCTCTGGGAACCCTCCATGAAGGATATTAGGAGGGTAAGTACCCGGAGGAGGGCTTTCTCTGCGGTGGCACCCAATTTATGGAATGCGCTCCCCAGAGAGGTCTGCCTGGCGCCGTCGTTATTTGTTTTTCAGCGCCAGACCAAGACCTTTATATTCAAACGTTATTTTAATTGTTAATACTATTTATTTATTTTATTCTTTGGCCAGGGCAACTTAAATTATACTGTTTTATATTGTGTTTGTTTATTTAAGATTGTGAGCCGCCCCGAGGCTTCGGCAAATGGGGCGGCATAGAAGTTCTCTCAATCAATCAAGCTAGCAGAAGTGCAGAGATTTAAAATATAGTAAGATATTTCAAATAGAATTGAAGCAATAAAATGCCTGGCAAAATAAGATCTTCACCTGGTGTTGAAAAGAGAATAATGTAGATGCCAGGGGAGCCTTTCTGGGAAGTTCTTTCTGCAAGTAGCATGCCAGCTGAGCTGCTTTTAGGTACACTGTGTGCTTTGATGGCAGTTAAAGATTTTATAGCTGCTGTGCATTGCTTAATAGGTGAAGGGTCATAGGAGACTGTTTTAAAAGCTGTGGCATAAGTTTCACAGACTTGAGCTTCAAAAAAATGTACAAAGTAAACACAGACAACATACACGTGTCTTAATTGCGGCTTCCTGCAGTGGGTGAATAACCTACCTGTTTTTCTGTTGCATTTTCATTTTAGAGCAGCATTCATTGACAGCTACAATATTTTAAAGCCCATGGCTTGTTTGGGGTTATTTGATGCTTATCTAATGCTCAAACAATCCCTCCTGCTTGAATCTGCATGACACAAGTGAGGGCAAGCTGGTCATGTGTGTGCACCACACAGAAATGGTGCCCAGAATGACACAACAGCCCCTGCAGGTAAATTAACCCATGATGAGCTGTTGGTCCAAACAGGTCATACATCTGTGGGCAGTTTGTTTCCATTAAAGTGTTGCGCTATCACATTTCTTCTGGAATATGTAGACACCGAGGGAACAGACTGCTGCATATATCCTGAAACTAGAGGGAGGCCTTCAACATGTCTTTGTCCAGCCCATGGACATATAGTCCTTATCTCTGGCTGTAGAAGGCATTACCTTTCATTAGTCATTGCTTTCATTCGGGTTGCTAAATTTAATGGTATATCATGCAACCCCAAGTCATACCCTTTGTGGTATAAAATACCTTTTTACTAAGAACCTGTGAAATATAGCCATGCTCTAGTGGCTGCCACTGGAAAGGAATGGGAAGCATTCTGTGTAGATGATGTGGGAAGAACTATTCAGAATTCCTGCAACTGTGCAGTTGCATAACTCTGCACTATGTAGAGTTATGTAGTTGTGAGATTGTGTCAGCTTCTTGCAGTTGAACCTTTGCATGAATCTTTGATTTAGCCTGGTGTCCTGTTCTGGGGCTGTTGGGCTTATGAAGCATTTGCATGTACAGTACCTAGTTTCTGAGAGACCACTCTGAATATTGGCACAGTGCAACACAAGTATGAAGCTGGCTTGCCTTGACTTCTCTAGCTTTGGAAACTTCAATTTAACTTTGAAATTAGCAACCAAAAGTTAGATATGGCTTTACCCTGGGTCCTGATGCTGAGTTTGCCCTTGCACCTTTTGAATGTATGATTAACGGTGTGATAGTGCAGATTGGTAAATGGGCATTTCTTTGTGGCCACCGGGAGAAATTAACTCTCCACAGGGAACCAAAGTGCAGTTTTTGCAAAAGTTGCTTTTCTATGTATACAGTTTACCAGGGAATTGAATGGGCTACTGGTGGGCTTAGCAGTTTGCTGGTCTTTGTAGTGAGGAAGCTTATATCTTGTGGATCCATGAAAGAGAACTTGATATGGCACTTCCTACTTGGTACCTAGATTTGTATCAGCTGTGATTAATACTGACTCTGGATAGGTCACAACTCAATTTCTGGTGAAGAGCACTAGTTTTCCTGCCAGCAGCATGCCTGCACGTGCTTGGAATTTCATACAATCTGTTCAGCTGTTCTTTGCTGCCATCTTTCACTGCATCTCTCTATTAAGTGTCTGCTGCAAGGCACCCTTTCAAAGGGTGCCGTTTGAAACTAGAGTGAAAAAATGACTCGATTCTCTGCTGTTTCTCCAACTACTTTTATAAGCAATTGGCTGCTGAGGCAAAATTAAAACCTGATATTCCTTGTGGCCTCAGTTGAGGTTTGTACAGAACCTGTATCTGCTCAAAATGTGAAGGTAAACAGAATGCTAAACTTTGTGAATTGCATGATTTAAAATGGGTTAGATGGTTCAGGCATGAAGCAAAAATAAGTCAGATTGTGAAATTCACCACAGATATTAGTGTTCAGGATTGTGTTAAGATGTGAGAGCATTATCATATATAGTGTTATGAGATGTATATCCTTAGAGACCATAGTAATGTCTCAAAACTTTTGTAGAAAAGTATGGTGGACTATTGCACACATCCTGTGTATGGCAGTGTATCAACAGAGAACTAGTACAGGCAACTGAAAATGTGTGGCATGGCAGTTATACCCCAGTTGCCATTTTAGGGTGCATCTAAGTGGGTTAATATGCAGTGAGCAGGCAGTCAGTGGTTTAACCTTGCTGTTAACATCTTGCTCCACAAAACAGCTGCTAAAGGAAATTAGTGCCTAACCCTAGGGCCAAACAACAGGAAATGATACGGGATATGAATGCATCCTCAGGGAACATTGCTACTGAAGTTTCCCACATAAATGCCACTTCCAGTCAGAGGAATCTGCTGTGTATTCATATGAATTCAGATTTCTAAGAGTTGTACCACAGATTCCGCACTCGGCAGCTTTTTAGAGTCATGTCTTCCTGACCGGTTTTTCCTTTTCTGTGGAGTGTTTGCAGTAACACACATTCGTGGTAATATGCATTAGCACAAGTACATGTTCCTCCTAACAAGCACTCTTGCAAATGTGCTGGTCTCCATTAGTTAATGGCTATTAGTGCCAGTGCAAATTAGCATGAGTAAAATGAAATTGAGATTGTAAAAGTTCCATTCAGTTAAGTGGACCATGATATAAAAAAGGCTGACAATCCATGGGGCATAGAATGGAGTTAACAAGTTCTTTATGTCCTCAGTAGCAGTCTTCAGAACAGTAATGTCACGACTGAGCAGGCTTTCAAAGATCTCTTGCGGATCCACTGCTGCTCGGTTCTAGAGAACCTGACTTAGGTTCTGGAGAAGGGAAAGCTTTAACTCTTTAGGCATATCACAACTGCAGATCTAAACTCCATATTTTCAAGGACATGTGCATCATGAAAGCCATGTAGCTTCAGGGTTTTGCTCTTGCATGCTTTCAGTAACAATGGCATACAAGGCATCTCCGGTCAGGATTGCGGTTCAAAGAATGGCTTTAATTTTATGCATGAAGTGAACGTCACTTGAGAATGCAGGGGCGATCGGTTGCATGTTGGCTTGACAAAAAGATTTATCACAGTAAAGGTCATTATATTTTAGCAATTGTGATGATTCAGTATAATTGTTCATCATGCTTTCATAGTAAACTCATTGCAGATACTACATTTTTAAAAAAATAAGTAAAACTGCTCTCATTTTGAGTACTTATCCCTTTCAGTGGCTTTCATTGTTTGGAACATAATAATCAGTTAAATGGTTTTGTTTTCACCCATTACCTTCATTCGACTTAAGTTAGAGAAATACTTCAGTAGCTCTGTATTTCAGTACACTGGCTATTCAGCCATTTTCCTTTAGGAAATAAGATGGAAACATTAGATTGGCAACCAATTTGAACCATGAATAAGGTAGCTTTGCCCAAAATAGCACTCTGTGGCTGCATCTGATTGGTTTGTTTAATAACAAACTGATAACCATCTAAAATTGCATATTTAACTGTGCTACCTTAAAGGCCGTGCAATTTCGCAACTTGAACTTCTCTTGTGGGCTTTTAAAAGTAGTGTGACTCCCTATTAAATTGAAGTACTGGAGTCATCATGGCTTTTAAAGAGAAGTGCTGTTACATCTCCACTTCAGACTGTACCTGATGCAACCTTTAAAGCTTGTCAGTCCTGCAGACAGGGGCAAGACAGAGTGTGTTTTGGCAGAGAGCAGTTCCATTTGGGGCCCAGCCTCATCTGACTGAACTTGCAAAATTCAGCTAAACGTTTGCTTGAGTGCACTTGTGCTAACCAGGAGAAAATCTGTACTCTCAGATAGTAGTACTTTTTCCTTGGTAGGAGTCTTTCAGAATTGGCAAACAGATTCTGCCTATCTCCTAACCATCTCCCAAAGGTTATACACTGAATTTGGAAGCCGAAAATGTAAATCCCAACAGTGTCTGGGTTACCATGTTTGCTTTTCAGCACCTTTTTTAGGCATGACTGTGTATACATTTCTGTACCTGAGGATTAGAAATAGTTAAAATAGAAACATGTAACAAGACTTTATCCCTCGTAAGGTTTGGCCAAAAGTTAATTCCAGCTTTAGCATTTAACGCCATTGACAAGATAAGGGACATGATATACATTTGCCCCGTGACCACACAGCCTGTCTGCTGTTAGCACTGTGAAAACCTATATGGAATCATGGAATAGCAGAGTTGGAAGGGGCCAGTACGGCCACTGGTCCAGTCCCTTGCTAAGTGCTGGACTGCAGGTCAGAGCCCCCCTGGCAGATGGCTGTCCAGCCATATGTTTGCCTCTTCTGTAAGAGCTTCTTTGTGGTCACTGCCTAGGGATTTAAGTGCCATTTTTGACCTTTTGGGGGAGGGGGTTGCTGTTTGTCTCTTCTTTCTGTTTGGATTCATTGTGCTTTGTGTGTATGTGTGTGTTCTAACCTTTCTCTTGTTGCTGTCACTCCTCCTTTCTTCGCTGGCGCCATTTCTGTTCATCCCATCTCATTGGCTGCTGTAGCAATAGGTAAGAGATGAATGGCAGGGCATAATGGGCACTCCAGCATGAGGGCACTTATACATCAGGCCAGTTAACTGTACGGTCAAAGTCACTTCAGTATCTAATCCAAAGCACACATAAGCAGTAATCCAGGTAGTCTGGCCCTATGCCTAATCCACTCAAATCACCCTTGTGATTTTAATAGATTACAATCTACATATTCTTAGCTGCTTGAATAGCAGGATTTTTGACCTGAGGGAAACTGGTATATTGAAACACCTGAAGTTCTTCCCACTGACCTTTGGGCTGTTTTCCTTTAAAGAGTGGGTGGGTAGGTAGAAAATCCACCACGTGGCAATATGCTTTAAATACAAGAGGTGCTTGGAGAAGTGCGAGACTTTTCCACAGCTGAATCAGTGCACATCTGCACTTGTTGGTGACCCCGAAGGTATCCTGGCATTCAGAGTTGGAACTCAGTTGATTGAGCTACCCAGAGCTTTATGCTGGCCCTCTGTCCTTTCTGTTTCAGTGGTATTGCTTGTTCGCTACATATCTTGGGCTCTGGGGGAAAAAGATATACTTTACAGTGCTCTACCCCTTCCTTAAGAGGACTGGGGAAGGTTCAGTGCTCTTATTGCAACAGACTTGGTTACTGATGTAAGTAAATACTGGGCAATATACAGCATTTGATGCAAAATTCATGAGGACTGGCATAGTACAACACCCTGAAAGCATTACATGGAAAATGGCTTTTATGTACCTAGACAAATTCCAGGATGCTGTCTGTTTATTTCTGTACTGCCCTAATAGCTGCAGGTTTCTGGGAGGCTGGCAACAGTATCCAAAAGTGCAGACCACAAATCAGTAAAATACTGCAAATATACAAAATTTAAAAACTTTAAACAATTAAAACAATTTTGGTTCTGATCAGACTTGTTATAACAGCTGCCATAAATACCCCCTCATGCCACTGAATTCCATTAAATGCCTGGGAGAAGAGGACAGTTTTAACACAGTGCCAAAAAGATGACAGGGCCGGCATCAGGCTGCAGCTAAACTTGGTGGGGTTGTATGCAATGTATTGTGTCTAGTGCCTTTGGCCGCTCACTCCTGTTTTCCTACCACATTGAATTCTCCAGGCGGAATGCAGTGGATGCTTTCCGGGTCAATGTCATTCACGCACGGCAGCAAGTGCGCTCACCTGTCACCAACATTGCCCGCACCAGTTTCTTCCATGTCAAGCGTTCCAATATCTGGCTGGCTGCTGTCACCAAGCAAAATGTCAATGCTGCCATGGTCTTTGAGTTCCTCTACAAGATGTGCGATGTGATGACTGCATATTTCGGAAAAATCAGTGAAGAGAACATCAAGAACAACTTTGTGCTCATCTATGAACTTCTGGATGGTGAGGATGAACCTTTCTGACTGAATTCTGGGGACTTATTTAGAAATGGGTGTCCAGAACTGTCACTGTAGGCTTAGGATGTGGGAAAGGGTATATTGAGTCTGCTTTGGCCCAACGAAATCTGGCTGTTCTGTGAGAATTCCAGCACCCATGTGCTTAGCCGGGTACTTGCTTGCTGCAGCTCGCATCAGCTAGTACAACTGGCTAAACTGAAGACTTGGATGTAGTCCAGTGCTTGCACCCTCTCAGCAAACACTTGGCACCTGCCAAGTGATCTGTATTGAGTTCAGCACTGGCTTAAGATGGGAAGATAGTTTTACGTACAGAGCCTGAAGATCAGACCTTGATTTCACGCATGAGCTGCATGAATCAGGGTCGGTTTCCTGCAAGTTCTACGGGGCACAAATGCTTCTAACTTTTCTGTTCTGTCTTTCGAACGAACCAGCCCAAGCTTATATAAACATGATAATGATCAATTCAGGATGTCCAAGCATAGTCTGAGAAGCAGTATATTAATACAAGTCTCATAAGCTCATGATACTCCTTCACATGCAGACAGGCGATGGCCTGCTGCGTTTTGCTGCTGAAACTTATGTTTGCTGCCAGTCTGTAAGTCTGTTGCTTCTGTGCATCAGATATGACCAGATGATTTGACCCTTCCAAACAGGGTGGTGGTCTTTTTCAGGTAAAGTGGACCTGCTGCTCTAAGTCAGGGAAAAGATAGCTTGCCTCATTGACTAGTTGCTCTAATTTTCAGAGCAGCAGCTGCTGAGAAATTTCAGTTCAAAGCTACTGTTAGGTATTTAGTTCACTGCAGAAAAGGTTTGATTGGCTTCATCTGTGACAAGGACAGGAAACTAGATGTTCCCAGAGGACCAGATTGCATGCTGGGGTGCAGAAGACATTGGGGATAGGCCTTTCTTCCTGAAGGTCCTGCCCCTTGCTGTCGTTCAGCCCTTTTACCTTACTCACTGTGGGGTGAGGCATGGAGTGGTGTACACCTCTGCGTGAAGAAAGGGGCTCAGCCAGAAAGGTGGGCACCACTGGTTGGTTTATTTCATTTTTATACTGCTCTCCATCTGGTTGCATGCCCTGCTGATGCCTGGGAGAGAGAGCAGGCCTAACCTGCTCTTAAGGCACCATTTGAGACCTCACCTCTCCTTCCCAGCCAGGGAAGGTGAGGGGGAAGTGAAGCTGGCTGGACTATTGGCTTGAGGTGCGCTATTCCAGATGACAGTATAGTTGTTCCACCTTCTTGGGGGGATGGGGGTCTTGTCCAAGTCCTGTGCAGGTAGGATGGGATGTCCTGGAACTGCTGAACTATGACATGATGGTCTGGTTGTCGTTTGAACGACAGAACGGCCAGTGTTAAAGAATATAATTAAGTTCCGTTTGTTGCTTAATTGCTGCTTATCAATGCATTTTCGTCAACGGATAATGGACTTTTGTGAAAGACTGACATGAGAGAGTTGGAATTCACAATCCTGTCTTTAGGTCATGGCTCTTTAACGCTTTTCAGAAGCCCCTTTGGGAGGTGAGGTGCAAAGGTGACAGATCTGCAGCTTGCCGCAGGCTAGAGAGAAACCCCACAAGCGCAGCGTCATTTTTTATTCGTGTTACAGGTCTGCATCCGGAGAGGCTAGCTCTGAGAGGCCTTCCCAGAAGGGGGCAGCTATTGGCAGTTCTCTTTTCCCCAAGCTTGGCTGGTCGGCCTGCCCTGCGATACCTGCTACTCTGCTGTTGTTTTTTTAGGTTTTGATTTTTATGGCATGCTCATGCGAAAATCAAAACCTAAAGAAAATGCTGCAAAGATAGATTATTCTGCTGCTGTTGGATTTATCCTGCTTCAGAGCAGGTTCCTTTGGATGTCTGGATTCTGTCCTCTTAAGTTTTCATCATGTCTTAGCCTCTGGTGGGATCAATATCAAGCATGACAGCAGCCTGAAGTGGGTGCGGGGAGGATGTCCCTTGAGCAAATTGCCTGTTGGCTTCTTGTCTTAAGCATGGCTGCTGCTCAGCACCAAAGTTTCGAGATGTTGCCTTTCTCTGATAAGTTTTTACCCTTCTGTAGAAATCCTGGACTTTGGTTACCCTCAGAATTCTGAAACGGGGGCTCTGAAAACATTCATCACCCAACAAGGAATCAAGAGCCAGGTAAAGCTGTAGGAGTCTGTGGTAATTGTAACCTACATAGTTTATTTACTCATTTAATTTCTGTACTGCCCACCAGACAATGCTCTTTGGCAGGTTTATAACAACACACAAAAATATTTGAAGTATATGCCATATAAAATGGAAACAGTGTTAAAACATTTCATAAAAGGAGTGGCCATAAGCACCAAGTTTTACAGTGCATCATCAAAATAAAGAACACAGTTGAGCACTGCAGAACCTCTTTAACAACCCCTTAAAAGGATGGCTATTTTCAAGACAGTTCAAAGTTGAGCTTTGGTGAGAAACCTCCTCTAGTTGGGGACATTATGTCCCTGTCCGTTTCCTGCCTGTTCTCTCCGTTCTCTTTCAACTGTCATGGCAGGGAACTTTCTCTGCTCATCTGACTTCTCAGGGAAACCAAGACATGCTGAGGCAAAACAACCAGTGCATTCACCTCCTTGAGCTTGAGAAGAGTTGCTGTTCTTGTACTAATGTCACACTCTGTGTTTGGGAGCAGAAAGAGGTTGGGGTTAATTTGCAGAATGAATTGATTCTGGGGAAGAAATACAGTGAAGAGTAAGTGAAAAGGCCTTAGTTGCCTAGGACTTTCTTTCATTAAGACTTCCCAAACAGGAGTTCTTTCAACAGACCATGGTCCAACTAATTGTTTCATGGGCCTCAGCCCCATTTCCTGGTAGCTGTCAAATTTGTTTTTTGAGGAAGTGTGCGAGGGCAGATGTGAAGGCTGTTTTCTGCTGCTCTGTACAGGAAGGGGTGTTTCAGCCAGCTAAACAGCTGAGTTGGAGAAATGGTCTAAATCCTTCCCCCCCTTCAGCTCTTCTGCTTAAACTCTTGCCCAAATCCTTTTATATTTGAATATGCCACATACTTTTGCTGGGCAAAAGTAGCCTTGGGAACCACCGAACCTGTCCTAGCAAGAAGCAATTTTTAAAAAATTTATGATATTGCATGTAACCCCATGGAAAATATCTTTGGTGGTTTACAATTAAAAACAAAAACAAAATTGAGCATAAGATCATACATTGAAAAGCAACACAAAATAATTACAAAACAATATTCAGAGTGCCCCAAAATTAAACCTTAGGCAGTATGAGTTGCTTAAGAGGCCTGAGTGAACAGAAGGGTCTTCACCTAGTACCAAAAAAGACCATAGAAATGGTGTCATTTTAACCTGTCCTGGGAAGCTGTGTCATTGTTGTCTCCTAATATAAATGAAAAGAGTTGAAAAAGTGTGATGGAGACTTAGATTTCTATCTAGTGCAAGGCTGACTGGTTCAGACAGTCACTGGCTCAGGCTGAAGGGTTGAAAATGGGCTGTTGAAACGTGGACTATTTTATCTTAAACCCAACCAAACATCTCACAGTACATAACCCATTAATAAACCATGGTTTGTTAACCATGAACACTGCCCGTGATTTCATAGCACAGCTGGGTTCAGACAGTTGATGGTTTCAACAATAATTCATGGTACAATGACAACCCTTACTCAGCTCTTGAGGCTGAGTTACTGTTTTGCCTGAACTCAGGCATTCTCTGTCCTGTGAGCCTGCCCTGAGCTTGTTGAAAGAATCAAATCTCATCAGTGATACTGATTTCCTTCCATAGAAGGAAGCTAGGATATGAGTCTCCAGTTATTGCTTCTCAGCCTTTGGAAGCTGTCACTGAGTTCATGCTTTAGTGGTTCAATTCTGGTTCTGATTCCAGGGCTGTTCAGTCTTATGCTTTCAACTAAGGTGGTATTAGGTGTGAGTGGTTCTGACAAGCAGCGCTGTGAAACTGCATAGAAATATTGATTAAAGGCAAAATAGTGGTCATTCTGCACCCAGGTTTTTCTGTGGAACAGAAAACCCAGCTATATTGAGTATGTGAAAAAACAGAGCAGTGAGGTGTGCTGAATGACCCAAACAGTGACTGGAAGGATTGGAGATCACTTCTATCCTTCGTTCCAAAATTTATGGCATTCAAGATTAGAGGTTTGGTGTGTCTTCAAGCTGAGGAAGCTCCTGGCAACCAGAAGTGGTCAGTGTGTGGATGAGGAATGCATCTGCCAGTTCTGAATGCCTCAGAAGGCTGTGTATAGGTCGGTACTGACATGGGGTGAGAAGAGAGGACTGGACTGCACAGGCATCTACCATTAATGGTACAGACTAGCCTGTCTGGTTTGAGTCTGTCTGTTCCCATGTGGTGAATGTGTTGAATGGCCATAAGGTCTCAGGTGCTTGGTTATGTGGTAAAATTGAATGGAAATGCCCCCATTCAGGATGCCTCTGCCCCTCTGACTTGAGCTTGCTGGAGTTAGAGAGGCAGGGGGCAGCCCGCCAGCCTCGCAGGACTTCCCCTGCTGTAGTGCTGTTAGAGCGCAAGTCGCTTGTTGCTGATATCCGCAGTTCCCGAGTTGAGCCTAGAGGAAAGCACCCTCCTTCGGGCTTATTCATGGAGCAGATGAGAAGCTTTGTAGCCATTGAGATTGCCGCAACCCTAACACTTTTCTCTCTCCGTCCTTCCCCTTCACTGGCCTGCTTGCCTCCTAACCCCGTGTTTGCTGCGCTTGTCGCTATACATCTGCTTTCTCGCTTTCTGCGTGTGACTGGACGTGCCTGTAGCACCAGGTAGGAGAATTTGCTGTCCCTCCCGACCCGTCCTTGGTCTCTTCCCGAGACGCCTGTTACCAGACAGAGCCCTGGTGTGGGACTGATGGGGCTCATTTTTTTAATAGATTGGCCCACAGTGCATGAACAGTGTAGACTCTTCTGGGTGGGCAGGCAAGCAAGCAGCTGGGTGGAGGGGCACTGGCTTGCGAGCAGCTCAGTGTGGCCCTGAGCCATGCGCTTCTCCTGCGCTGCTCCTGGCTTCCAGAGGCCTGCTGCCGTGAGCCTGTGGAGGGAGGAGCAGAGCTGGGCCACGCACTGCAGGTGCCTGCAGGAGCTCTGGCTGGCAGAAGCCGAGTGTATTTTGGATCCCCTTTACTGACCCTGTGTGGGAAAGGGGATGGTAAGGGAAGTTGGCCTCCTGGCCAGGATGCTAGCCGGGAAACCTCCAGCCGGCACGTCTGTGGGAGAGGGCCTGGCTTCATCCACTTACAGCTTCCACCCCATGGATGCCGGAGGTGGGGGACTGTCCCCCAAAAGTGACCCCCCCTTGGTTGAGAGTTTTCTGCTTAAGATGACTAACAAACCTTGTACTGGTTAACCCACTAGCCTTCTGCGGAGTTTATGGCATAAATGGACTGCAGGAGCTTCTGCTTGCGTGGGGTGCAGGGGGTCTTTTACTGCTGGCGAGTTGTCCAGGTGTCTAAGAGTCTCTGTTCCTGTCTGCCTCTCAGACGAAGGAGGAGCAGTCTCAGATCACGAGCCAGGTGACCGGGCAGATTGGCTGGAGGCGCGAAGGGATCAAGTACCGTCGCAATGAACTCTTCCTGGATGTGCTGGAGAGTGTGAACTTGCTGATGTCACCACAAGGTAAGGGCAGCAAAGTGGTTTCTGACTTCAGTGGATTTGGGGAAGGAGGCTGGGGTTGCTTCTCCTCACAACATTTCTTCTTCCTTTCTTCCAGGTCAGGTGTTGAGCGCCCATGTCTCTGGCAGGGTGGTAATGAAGAGCTACCTGAGTGGGATGCCAGAGTGCAAGTTTGGCATGAATGACAAGATTGTGATTGAGAAACAAGGCAAAGGGACTGCAGATGAATCAGGGAAAAGGTACGGCAGAGTGTCTGCAGGCTGCTGAACTTTGCGTGGCTCCTGGCAACTTGCGTCTGTCTCCTTGAGGAAGATGCTGTAGCTTTCCCAAAGGTGGTGCTTTGTTAGCTTTCTTTGCTGCCCACCTAAGAGAGAAACCGTTTCCTGCAGACTTTTTCCAGTGAGCTAGAGGGCCTGTCTGATGTTGAGAAGGTACCATATAAAATCTTGGTTTCAGCTAGACCCCAAAGAAAGCTATTTCCATGCTGAGCTGCGGCATCTGCAGGTGACACATGGCATGCCCAGCTCTTCTGGGATCTTGTTGTGTCATGTGAACCCAGTGTGTGTGGGTTATGTGAGGGTTAAGTAACCTGAAACAGGCCATAGGCTATGTGAGGGTTGTTTAAACCTCGCATACCCCATGTTTGCAGGGTTTACACAACGCAGCAGCCCCCAAAAGGAAGTTTCATATTGAAGTGGGAAGCTGCATCTGCTGCAGCTCCACCATGGGTTAAATAACCCACGATAGGCTGTCAAGTTGTATGAAAGGCTCTTTGAGCGAGCTGGTTCTTTGCAGAATCTGACTCTGCAAGTTCCAGGACCGGAAAGCGAGAAAGCCCTCAAGCTTTTCCCCCTTTTCATCATTCAGCTGGCCTCTGGGGCCATGGGGGTGGAAGGGAATAGCACGTACCACCGTGATTCTTTGTCTCTCCTTTCTTCCGTGTGCCAGTTTCAACTATAGCAAAGCAGTCTCTGGTCCTGGAACGTCCCTGTTTTGAGACCAGTCACCAGGGCTGGCTGCAGAAGGGGCCTGCCGCCCTCCTTGCTCCCTCGTAACCACTTTCCTACTGAATTCTTTTTTTTTTCCTTTTGTGTCCTGCTGACTCCAGTGAAACAGGAAGGTAGATAACCTGCTTACTGCTGTGTGCACGCACTCACCACCCCCTCCTCCTCTTCTTGCTTTGTGCGATTTGTGCATGTGCTGCCTTGTCAGGCACTTCCACGCAGGTCCTGCCTGCAGTTGAAGGCTGAGCTGCCACTTGCTTGTTCTTGGGCACGGAGTCCACTGAAGTGCCGCCGTCCCTTTCCACCAGCCCAGGGACGTGCCTGCGTGGGCTGGGCAAGGTTCACGTGGGGGTTGTGCCTCCTGGCAGGGGCTGCAGATGGCCTCTTGCATTAGGCCGGTAGTGAGAGGCGCTGGGGGAGATGTCCCTTCAGAGTGCAGAAGCAAAAGTAGAGGCCCACCGGAGGAGCCTGACGGTCATGAAGCAGGATCGCCTCCCGGGGCTAGAAAGCCAGTCACCCTTCTGTGAGCCCGTGGGCCTCGTGTCCGTGCTGCCAGTTGTGTCAGCCTGTTCCTGAGTGCTCTGTTTCCTTGGCACTGAGGGACGGAGCACACTGTGCCACAGCCTTAGTTTCTTCCAGCAGCCGCTTCCATGCCTGTGTGGGACGTGGCTTGTACCCGAAAGAGACCCTTCCTCCTTGCAGGGTGCAAGAGGTGTTGACTAAATTGAGCCCGTACCAGATGGTTTTGGCAGAAGTGAAGGGCCAGGCTACCCGACCAGCACGCCCTGCCAAGCCTGGACTCTCTCTGTCTCTCTGTGTGCGTTTCCAGGGCCCGTCCTGTATCTTGGGCATTCACTCTTTCTCTCTGTAGCTCTGCTACCTTTTTGGCACTCTCTGCTTGAGGGACTTGTATCTGAGTCATTTACGTGCTGCCATTCAACACTTGCACTTGCAAAGCGTTGAAATGAGAGTTTGATGGTGTTGGTTTGTTCCCGGAGTGTTCCCCTCCCTCAGAAGCCACAGCAAGGACCCCCAGGACTGACTTAGCATGACTGCCGAAAAGGGCAATGTAGGTGGATGCTCTGGTGCTTGCAAAGCTGGAAGGCAAAGCATTGGCACCTCATCTGGCTTCCTAGTCTGTGGTGGTACATGGAAATACATGTGCCATTGAGGTGTGTGGTATGGAGGCAGTGTGGGCTAGTGGTTGGAGCGTTAAACCAGGACTTGGGAGGGCCGGTTCTAGTCCTCACTCAGCCATGACACTTGCTGGTGACTTTGGGCCTGTTCCAGGCACCTGGCCGAACCTCCCTCACAGAGCTGTTGTGGAGAGGAAGGGAACCACGTGAGCTGCCTTGGATTCCTTGCAGGAGGAAACAGAGAGGGTGACTAAAATGCAATAATAAAACGTGGATCCCGGGGCAGAACAAGGAGGACCTGCTGCTGGCTTGTGCTGTGTTCTGCCTGCACCCCAACCCAAGTGTGCTGCCCGGAAACGTGTGCTGGGAAGGGCAGACCGGGCTCCGCCTGGCAAGCGGAGGGCTGCCGGCAGAGCGGGACGAGCCTCTGCGCGGGGCCCACGCTGGACCTCCGCAACTCCCTGCGAGCGGCTGGGTGGCCCACAGCCTTAGCAGCTCAGAAGGGGTTGCTTGGCCCCGGTGCAGCCAGGTCCCTGGCTAGCCCTCCTCCCTGCCTCGGAGTCCTTGTGGCTCAGTCTGTGATGGCGAAGCGCTCTCTGCGGAGCAGCCTTGCGAACAGCAGGAGCCCGGATGCTGCCGCCCACGCCACTGCCCCGCAGGTGCAGGCTTGTAGCTGCCGCCGCTGACCAGCCGTTGTCCTGTGCTTCTGTGCTGCAGTGGGAAGCAGTCGATTGCCATCGACGACTGCACCTTCCACCAGTGTGTGAGGCTCAGCAAGTTTGACTCGGAGAGGAGTATCAGCTTCATACCCCCGGATGGAGAGTTCGAACTGATGAGGTATGGCGCATGGAGAGCTCGCTCCACTGATCAGCCTCACCCACAGGAGGGCGGCCGTGGCAAGTTGCGCACGTCGGGCCTGCCGATTCGGCAGGCGCTGTCTCCTAGCAGGCCCAAGCGTGCCTGCCCTCCTCGTGGGGGGTGTGGTCAGAACCCTGCTTGGCTGGCCTGTGATTCGGTGGTTTAAAAGCTCACACCTGTGCCAGATCAGTTGGCCGTAACAGGGCGAAGATGTTTGCTGCTGCTGTCAAATGCCTGCACAGGGCCATGGGCAGGCAGCACAGTCCTCCAGACGTCTTAGCCTTCAGTTCTTCTAAGCCCTAGCCATTGGTGAGGGGTGAAGGAATTGTGGGCCAAAACCTCTTCAGGACCTGCCTTAAATTAACAGGTGAGACTACTTTTAGGAGAACTGTGGCGGCTCTGAAAATGAGACATTTCGGGCATTGCTTACAGCAGCTTTCACAGGCTTCTACTGTTCAGAGTTTTGGACCACAGCTTCTCTAACTCCCAGTCAGCTGTGCAGGGAGCTTCCATCATGGCTGTCTTGCCTTTAAAGAGTGAAGCGCTCTGAAAGGCCCAAGCATCAAAGGCAGGACAGTTCTTAAGTTCACGGCCGTTCCAAGCCCATGGTGGTTTGGTAGCCACCTTCCTGGGCATGGATGCATGGGATGGCCAACTCAAACGGATCCCTATGAATTCATGACGGTAAAATAACCACAGCCTTGCCCGTTAGAGCACAATGAGCATCAGTTGCGTGCCAATAAAAATGGGGAATCCAGTGCAGTTGCGTGAAGGTGTGAGTTTTACAGGATAGGTGTCTGGTTATCACACACATCAAGAAATTCCACAAGGGCCAAGGAACATTTGCCAGCATTGCTGCCGCTGGTGACACAACGCCCTGCATCTCTTTTGGAACAGTTGCAGTTTGTTGTCGCCATCTAGTGGTGAAGCCACAGGTCGTCTCTCCCTTTCCTAAAGCACAACTTACTCTTTCTTCCCAGGTATAGAACCACTAAGGACATCATCCTGCCTTTCCGTGTGATCCCCCTGGTGCGTGAGGTGGGCCGCACCAAGCTGGAGGTGAAGGTGGTGATCAAGTCCAACTTCAAACCCTCCCTGTTGGCTCAGAAGATAGAGGTAAACATGGGAAGGCTACGCTGGGCAGTCAGGAGCTCACTTTGTGTTGCCACGGTGGGGCACAAGCCTGTTCTCTCGCCAGCCCTGCAGCTGTGACAGTGAACACGGTGGTAGGCTGTGGGCTGCGTGTCTGTGTGGGGTGGTTGGCCCTGCCTGCCCCCTTGGCCCTGAGGCAATGGATGGGTTGCAGACATTCGGCTTCCTCGGGCTCAGAGCAGTTTAACTCACCGAGTGCAATCCAAGCTTTGGCAGATGGTTGGTGGCAAGAGGTTCTTAGCCAGTAGTTCCCCGTAGCCTGTGAAGGCGTCCTTCGGAGGCTACATGACCAGCAAGAAAAGCCGCATTGCGAATGGCAAGGGAGCCACCTTTAGGGCATCCTTGTTGAACACCTTGTGGTGTTGCCCTGCCAAAACAGTTTTCTTTTCCTTTCCTGGGTTTTGCTTTCTGGTCCTCTGGGATTCAAATACTTTGTCTTCCAGGTGCGAATTCCCACACCTTTGAACACTAGTGGAGTGCAAGTCATTTGCATGAAAGGGAAGGCAAAATACAAGGCCAGTGAGAATGCCATTGTCTGGAAGTAAGTGACCCTCGGGTAGGCGTCTCAATCCGGGTAGCTGCAGCACCTCCTATTGGGCAGGTTTTGCATTGCCCCCAAGAAGAGCTGCCTGTAACTAGAATACCTCTGCTGGCTTCAGCCAACAGCTTTCCCTCTCTCGAATTCCATAGAATCAAGCGTATGGCTGGAATGAAGGAGTCCCAGATTAGTGCAGAGATAGAACTGCTCCCCACCAACGACAAAAAGAAGTGGGCTCGGCCACCCATCTCCATGAACTTTGAGGTAGGAGATCCTGAGCGGGTACTCTGCACACAGCCACTGCTTTGGGAGGGGCAGGAGAAATGGATTTCGGCATCAGAGCAGAAATGAGGGGGCAGAGGGCACGGGCATTCTTTTGGGGTGCGTCTCCTTAAAAGGAGGATGGTCATGAAGGGACAGCCTTCTCTTGCCCTTCAGTGTACCAGTGTGGGCGGTCTCCTGCCGGAAGTGCCCGTGGCCTGCTGTAGAGGCCTGCCCAGCCTGGCTCTCTTCATGGTGCAGCCTTGAAGGGCACTTTGCTGAATTGCTCTTCATCCGCTGAGTGGCACTGCTTTCTGTTGTCCCGTGACGGGAAGGCTGAAGCATTAACTTGTGCAAGCAGGTGTGAAGGATACGCAGTTCTTGAAATGATGCTCACATGCATGAGCACATCAGCGTAAATCTGGACTTGGAGAAATGAAGAGCTTGGCAGGATTCCTGGTTGCACTGAGAACAGAATTGGCCCATCCCTGTAGTGAAGAGCGGTGTCCGAGAAGGAGCTTCAGCAAATGAAGCTGCCCTAAAGGAGGATGGTCAGGATCCTGCTTTGCGTGACACCTGAGGAGTGCAAGTGGCCTGCGCTCCGGATTTTCTCAGGGCAGCTGGGATATGTGGCTTTTGACTGAAAGAGCTGAAGAGGCGGGTTTTCAGAAGGTGCCGGGAGGCCGTTCCCATGTGCCCCTGCTGCCGAGCTGCTCGGTTTCTTCCCCCATCCTTGTCCTGTGCTTTGTGCAGGTCCCGTTTGCCCCCTCCGGGCTGAAGGTGCGCTACCTGAAAGTCTTCGAGCCAAAGCTGAACTACAGTGACCACGACGTGATCAAATGGGTGAGGTACATCGGCAGGAGCGGAATCTATGAGACGCGATGCTAGCCCAGTGCAGCCAGCCGGCTCCCTCCTCCCCGGCCTCCCTTGGTCTCCGAGTGCAGTTGCAGAGCCTCTCTGGCCCCTGCTCTGTCCAGCGGCTGAAGCTTAGACCCTCCTGCAGCTCCGCTCGGGCAAAAAGGACGCCGGTGCCTGCTCTGGTCTCACGGATGGAGTTGCAGCTGAAGCCGGGGGCCGAAGAGCCTGGCTCACGGCTCGCGTCTGCCCCAGGGTATAAAAGGGCCAGTCTAACCACCATCCCCCTTGTGGCCATTCTAGGGAACACCTGCCACGTGATGAAACCCCACCTCTTCCGTCGTCACTACTTGCATCCTACCCTAGTACTTTTTTGAAAGTTCTTGTGCATACGTACTCGTAGAATAGTCCCGGAAACCATAGACTGGACAAACATTGAGTTAATTCTGGCTTTCATTCATGCTACTGCTATTGTGATTGTCGCCCTGTAGCAAGAGGGGGCTTGGCATTCCCCCTTCCCCGATACCCCGCAGTGTCTTTGGTATGGGGCCCTGCTCTCGGGAGATTTGTGACCAAAAAGGCTGAGAGTGGCATCTCCTCTCAGGGTTTGGGAGAGCAGGCGGGTGGGTGGGCAGCACAGCGTTTCAGAGCCCTGGAGTGCAAAGTTCTTGAGACTCTGGAAGGAGCTGACAGCACCAGCACCTTCTGTATCCCCTTTCCCCAAAAGGACAAACGGTATGATCGGCAGGGTCATTCCTCTCATTTAGAATTGGCCAGTAAGTCATTCCTCTGCTGCATTCTCCCCGCCCCCTTTCTTTTGCCCAATTAGCTCATGCCTTCTTCCACCAAAAGCTTTGGGTCATTAGAAATGCTGCTGCAACCCACCGTCCTCTGCTTCTGATGATGTGGTCCTCCCATTTTGTACACTTGTGATTTGTCCAGTTCTAAATCCAATAAAGTGTGTAGAACCAACTGGTTTGTGAGTGGTACTCTCGGGGAAGAAGCCTTGGGCCACAGGTGACCCCCAGTTCCTGTCATGCTGTCTTTTATGCTAAAAACAAGGGGCGATATGTATCCTACACCTACATGGGAAGCAGATGGCGGCCAGGTATTTATAATTACGCCAGCTTAAAACCCAGGTCGGGATAGCCAGAAGCCTCGCAACATCGACAACTGAGGCTGCTACTGCCTGCTCAGCAGCCCTGTGCGTTCATGTCACCCGCATGGCTTTCTGTGCACCAAGGCCTTTGTTACGGGGCAGGAGGCTGCTGCAGTAAGCTTTCCCTGTATGGTGCAGAGGCTGCTGGGAAGTGTTTTAGGAGTTGGCTGATGTAAAGGACTGCCCAGCAGGGTTGGACCGTGCCCTAGTCCTGGAAGAAAAGAGTGGGCTGCAGATAACCCATCCTGTCATGACTTGCCGGGTGATTGGATGTGGTAGGAAAGATTTCCAATCTTGTTCCCCAATTTACCACATAGATCACTGTGGAGCAGAATGCAGAGCTTTCGGATAAATCACATTAACATAAAACATGGGTGGCCTGTGGCCCCTGGACATGCCCCTCAGTACTCAGTAGCACTGGAGTCGACAGTTTTAGCTTGTATGCAAGCCAGTTGTCCATTCCGTTGCTCTGGAGCTGCTGCAGAGCATGGAGAAGGTCAGTTTACCTTGTGAAAGGACTGAGTGCACCTGGTTTTAGAACTATGGAGTGGTTTCCTCTGGTGATCTAAAATATGTTCCCACCACCTGGTGTGTGAAGCAAGGGGCAGTCCGGCAGGCCAAAATCACCCCCAGGCCTTCTGCGGTTCTCCCCCCAGCCCCCACGGCATAAAAGATTCACACTGATGTCAATGTAAGGACAAGCGCCCTAAAAGCAGTTTCTTCTAATTCCCCAGAGATGGATTGCATGTCCCTAAATGTCATGCTCCTTATTTTTTTCCTTTCTTGCTGAAGGGGAAAGCCAGGATCATATTTGCAGATTAAAAACAAACGAACAAACTTTGATGCTGTATGTGCAGCGGATCAGTATGTTTGTCACCCAGCAGACATGACAACCTATCCAAGTTAAGTCATAGTTAATGCTGTTACAGGAAGTGCCTTCCATAATTCTCTGGAAGGTCTCTGTATTTCAATCCAATGTTCCTATTCTACACATCGCAAAAAATCGCCATGCTTAAACTCCCTTGACATTTTAAAAGTACACTTGGACAGGATGTCTGGAGCCTGAAACACTTTCTGGATGTGGGGAAGGTGCTTCTTGGCACTATTAAGTCAATTCGTCCAAATCTAGTCAATGAGAATGGAATATATAAATCCTCAGTATTGAAGCGTTGGCGATTGCAATGGTTCCTTGAGTGCAGCCATCTTCCAGCAACCTGGAACCTCATGGCTCCTTGCCCATGTTCGGCCTGTATATGTAACCATGGCTCACTGGCCAGACCTCAAAAGGTAGGGATGGGGGGAAATGTGCGGCACCCGAGTTGTTTCTTGCTCTGAATCATTTCCAAGCTGGTAAAGGCTGGGCTCCAGTTTTTGGTTCCCTGATTTTTTCAACAGCAGCTGCATTTTTTTTAAAGGTAGATAGAGGCATAGAGCTGACAAGGCCCTCCTCCAGAGTTTTGGATTTACTTGTTTCCCAAGCACCTGTAAATTGTCCAGAAAGCTGCAGCTATTAGGTGATCTAGAAACAAAATAAGTAATTTAAAAAGCAGGAGAAGGGCTGCATTCCTGTTAGGCTGGAGCTAGAAAAAACCACACCTTGCAACACAAACTTGGGGTCAGTGAGAGACTTGGTGGTTTTAAACTGCCCAGAGAACTTCAGCTTGTGAATAGTACAGAAATCAAATAAAAAGATAGCTTCATCGTCACCCAACCGATCCGCTAAAGCTAAGCTGGCTGCAAGGAAAGCCTTCTATCACGTGGAAATGCAGACTCTGCTCCTTTGGCCTTATGCTGAGTATCCTTTAACTTGGGGTGGGAAGATATACAAGGTCAAATCATGAGTTATTAATCAGCTGTTCCCTCGCCTGGAAGCTTGTAACAGGTCTTGAAGTTTTCGTACACACTCTGATTTTCCAGAGATCAGCAGCCTTGAAACACTAAAGTTGGTCCTCCCTATGCATGTCGTTCAACAGTGTGCTAGCATGACAACTGACTCTCTTCAGTGTAACAATTCTTCACCCTGCCCAAATACAAAAAGCTCCCAATATTCCATTTCATTTCTGTACTGCCCAATAGCCCAAGCTAGCCGGGTAGTTTACAACAAAAGCATTAGTAATGAAATACAGGGTCCACATATTGATGTTGATGAGCAGCCAAACATTTCTGAGTTTTTTCAGGACAGAAATAGCAAAGTGGCTCTGAATGCATGCAGACTGTTCCTTTCTGTCCAGCAAGCAGCAGCCTCTTCCCCTCTTACTGTTGCCATTCTACAGATCTCTCCAAAAGCTAAATATTGTTCCAACTTTCTTTGTGTGCTGCAGCACAACAAGCATCTGTTTTCAAAATGGGCATAAAAGGAGACAATCTTCCCTTTCTCCCCACACAATAGTTCTGTTTCAGACTGTTCTTCCTTCCCTGCAGCAGCCCCCCTCTGCCGCCTTTCCAGGAATGATCTGTAAAGTAAACAATTCCTTGGGTTCCTTTCCCATTTTTAAGTCAACCCACAATTAGAATGAAGTGGCTGGTGCACGTTGAGCTGAGCTGATTTGGAAGAAATAGATTCTTAAGATGATGGATGGAAGCTTGGAAGACAACTGGTCCTTAGCAGTTGCTGCCGAATTCCAGGAAGACTGCAAATGCTGCCAGAGGGGAATGAAAGAGCCTGGCTGGAGAAGTGGTTTGGCACAAAGGAGCTAAAATGTTACAGGTAGTCCCAAAGAACTATTGAAAAGGTTTTGACTTGCATGCCCCAGCCTTTGCTGTGACAATCAGCTGCAGAAATGCAAGATAATACCATTCAGAACAAGAGAGCAGACTCAAAAAACCTGCTCCAGCTTTTTTCCTCCTAGCAGGCCTGTCTCTGCAATGTAGTGCAACCTTTCTCCCTGTGTGTTCTTGCTCACCGAATCAAAAGATCTCAGTCTTGTTCAGGTACAAGCAGGTGACCCAGACAATGTGAGGCTGCACTCTGTCCCTGCCCACAAGGTAATGTGGTTTGTGCAACAGCAGGGTCTTGGACTGGATGGCCTTCATGGCCCCTTCCAACTCTACTCTTCTATGATTCTATGTGTTTAAGGGTAACTTTTAGCCTTGGAATTTCTCCATCCAGTTCAGAACCAGAGTGCAAATTCTGTGGGATCCTTCACAGACAAGAATGGTGCCCTGTTGCAAAATTATCCCTAACAGGTGAGGGGCTGGATGGAGCTCCGTGATCTGGGGATGAGCCTCAACTCACGGCTCTTGGAACGTGGGCTGCTTTTTTCTACGAGCAACGCAAACAGGGCTTTCCCCTCTCCTGCTCCAGCCTCTGGCTTGTTGGCAGGTAGGTGTGCTGAAGACTGTTTAAAATACCCCTTTGCACTTCAAGGCAACTTGTTCTTGCAAAACTGGCCATAGCATTCTGTGGTTGGGCTAACAGCAGAGCTGACCTACCGGCGAGTCGGGGCTTGCTTTCCCTTTGCCAGGCAAAGCAACGGATGAATGTCACTATCGTGCATGCTCGGGCTACGCTGCTGCTGTGCCGGGAGAAGCACCTGTCAGCCACAGTGTAAAACATCAACCCATCCTGGGAGGCAGCTTAGCCCTCAGGCGATGCATGGTAGCCTGTGGGTCCCTCGATACTCTTGCACACTAGTCTGAAGTCCTGTGTGGCAGCTCATGGCGAGCCCAGCTCCGTGTGGGAATAAATATCCTGGGAATCAGAGGCAGCGAGGGCAAGCTACAGGCCCATCACTCCACAGTCCTGTTTGCCTGAACGTGTTCCGCAGTCCGGCAGCCCATTTAAGCCTTGTAACTTTAAAGCCTTGCATTTGGCAGGGGTGGTGCATGACATGGAGATGGGACCCCCCCCCCTTTTCCTAAATCCACCCCAAATCTGCTTCCTCCACAGCTCCTGTTTTCAGTCTGGCCAGCTTTAGTTTTGGTCCTCCTAAATGCATGATCTCAGCCATAGCTGGAGCCTCGGTCAAGTGGGGGGTTGCAGAGAAATCCATGCAGGAAATGCGGGCATCCTGCTCTTCCTTGAACAGCAGCTTCCTAAAAGGTCTGTCCAGAAGGGTCCCAGTCGAGCTGGGGCAGATGGACAAAGCAGCTGTGTGCAGGGGCCAGTTTAGCACAGTTCTGTGCTTGTTGCCCTGTTGATTCTGGCTTGCACGGTGCACGTTTTTCTACTTCTGCAAGCAGTGGGTAAGCCCAGTGTAGGAAGCGGTGCACCTTTGCTGAGCAGGAAAGATCGCGCAGAGGTCATGCCGCTCTTCATCGGTTTCCCTCTGGGTCTCCCAAACTGTGAGCCGCACAAGGATCCTGGGGGCTTGTACCCACCGGAGAAGCGCCCTTGTGGAGACTGGCAGTGCAAACATTCCATTTTGTTTTCAGTGTCCGCATTTCATTTCATGTTCTGTCTCCGCCCCTCTATGCATTCCAACAGCCAAAGCAGTCCGGGTAGTTTACAGAGATTAGAAACCTTTAAACATACAACACTGCACAGGCCATATACCCTTTTTACAAACAAGCATAAAAATAGGCATCACATTCACAGTAGAAGAAGCCATTTAAGAAGTCACACCTCTTGGTCCATCTTGCACGGTGCTGGCTATACTAAGCTGGGCATCGTTGAACCCATGGGTTCTGTGCACTGTCTGGCAGTTTTAGGGTCACTTTCCATGATGCAGCTTCTGAATTTGCCAGTGGATTCAGGGAACTACATTTCATTTACTTTATTTCCCCCCACCCCACCAAGGGCTGCACCCCAGTTCCACCAGCAACTGAAATTCCCCCGATTTTGCAGTGCTGTGTGGGAAACATATTCCTGGTG